TTCTTGCATTTAGCACATGATTCTAATTTATGTTGGTGAGAACGATACATCGGAGGAGTTGTATAACAATTATATTCTAATCGATTTTTTTTTCGAAATTTGCGAGTACATTTTATATGTATAACCCCAAGCTATATTAAAAATGTTGTTCATTTTATATACACCACATACATTGTGGCGAAAATATGGTCGATAGCCGAGCAAAACTGATACGGAGAATCGATCAATACAATCCTGATGGGTACAATGTGATTCTGATATTGCTGACGCTACAATATCTAAACGATTATGCCATGCTCAATAAAACGACAACAGGACTTTACATGGACACTCATTGTCATAATCATGCAAAAAAAAGTCTGGACTTAGCTTTCAAATAATTTTGCGATAGCAGCAGACAACGGTTCACAATATTTAAAAACAGTTTTTCACTAATTTCGGGAATGATTTTATTTGGATTTATCAGTTTGAAATATTTCACTGACTCACACTGACTGCGACAAGGAATTTTTTTGTCCATAACTTTACAAACGTAACCAAAAATACGCTTAACACAATCATTCTCAAAACGAATCTTTACCGATCCGTGATGAGGACAAACAGTCGTATCGATAAGTTGATCTAGCGCCTTCATTTCTTGCAACTGACTGACCTGCAACAGCTTAAACCAAGATATTTATGTAAACATACTGACCCACGATATTTAATTTTTTTACCTTGAGCACTCATTAAACTTTCGCTTTTACTTGTTCGATAACTTGTTATTGTAACCGATCAAAAATCAGAGTAATGTATAAAAATACAAACCGCATACATTTACATGCAAAACTAGTTTTTCCTGTTCATTCATAAAAAAAAATATACGAATGAATGAACTGGCCCACCAAGACATGAAAAAGAACTAAATTATACTGTTTTAAAATAAAAATTAAACAAACTTTTGTTTTATTTTCTCTTTTAATTTTTATTTTATTGATTCAAACATGTAGAAATGTACATTTTTTTTAGAGAAATAACTATTTTTGCTTAAAAAATTACATTGGATTAGTTATTAGATCACAATCCGTTTGAATACATGTTTTCGTATTCACAGAAAGCGTTTCGGTAATATTATTCATGGAAAATGCTTCGGCTGTAGTATTTTTCATTGAAAACACTTCGGTTGTATTATTCATGGAAATTGTTTCAGTGTTATTTTTATTTAAAAAATTTTGAACTTGTAAACCACCATATGACAAATATGCATTTCATTGAAGAATCGGTCTTCTTCTTCGGTTAAGGGCTGCATCGGTTTTTTATCCTCTAAAAATTCGAATACCTCGCTTGCGATTTTTTTCAATTCATTCATGAACCATTCGACGCATTTCGGACCGCGGAAACTTGCATAACTGGATTTTGTTGGATCATTTTCACACTTGAAATAATAACCAATACTGTGCACTTGATGGTGATGTTGTGCATGTGTTGAGCAATTAGCGCTGTAGACCTCTGTTTCAGGTTCTTTCAACAAAGACTCGGTATCCGCATATAAAATGAAAGGAATCTTAAGCTCGTTCTTGTAATTTGTGAACGATTCAAATTTCTTTTCATCGGATGGCATTTCTATCGCACAAACATTCTTAGTTTCACATGAAATTTTATGCTCTTCTAATTTCTTCTGTGAACTAAAATGGTTCAAACAACGATCACATATATATTTTTTTTATGTTGGTGATTATTCATCTGTGATCCAATTAATTTACTCAAATTTTTAATCCAACAATAATGTGAATGTACTTCTTCATTACGATTGCTGGTTGTTTCTGTGAGCATTAGCAAATTAATGTATTGTCTATTAATCGATTTCGCAGCAAGAAAGCATGGACATATACATTTTTTTCCGAATCGAAATAGTAAACATTTACCGCAATATGCTCATTTTGCTGCATGAATTTCTCAATTTGATTGAGTCCCACTGAAAAGTCTATTCCATCAAAATTCAGCTCGCTCGGCCACACCCGATATAATAGGTAACCGGTTCAAAACGTGGATATTCAGTTTCACATGGAAACACATATATTTCGTTTCTCAAAGCTCATGCATTTGTTTTGGTTGTTGGGAGGCTGGTTCTACGCATGCTTAACCAGTTTAGTATCCATTGTTGGGAGGAGACTTGGAATAGAATGTTGTTTTTTGGAAGGATTGAAATGATTTTTGAAAGTGGAAGTAGGAAAGTGAAAGGGTTTTTGCCGATGGTGGGGAAACCGGTTTCCCTAGAATCGGCAAAAACTATCTACTGCTGGTATTTCCAAGAAACGACGGATATACTCCTGAACTAAATCCTCTTTCCGATCTTCAAATCTTCCCATGCTGCTGCGTAGTTCTGTTCATTCAGTTGGTATCCCTTGATAGTATCCAACGTGGTTCCTTTCAGATGGCTTCGTAACTGATGAAACTTCAGTGTATCCGAAAGGTCCTTATTATCGTGGACCAAATATTGGAAGAAATCCCTGAATGACACCCATTCGGTTAAATCTCCTCCAAAGTACGGTAGTTTCAGAGTATCGATCTTCAACTGAACAACGCTTTTGTACCTCTGGTCGGTGCGCCTATAGCTGTTGCTCACGATTTTTTTTTTATCAAGATATCGTAATAAACTAAAAATATCGTTCGATATCGTTATCGTTATCGTTATTATGATGGAATCTTAATAACGCTATCAACTTTTTATCAGGATATTAACTATATTCAAATAATAACGTTATCGGATGAATCTTAATAATATCGTTTGGAAGTTATCAAGATCGAATCCTGATAATTTTTCAACATTCAATCTTAATAATCATCAAGTTCTGGAAGTGGGTTTTGGTGGATCCTCAGGATCGACCAGAACTGCTCCCAGTTCTGGAAGTGGATCTTCAGGATGGACCAGATCCGGTTTGACACTGCCCTTGGACCAGATCCGGTTTGACACTGCCCTTGGCCCATCCTGAAGATCCACTTCCAGAACTGGGAGCAGTTCTGGTCGATCCTGAGGATCCACCAAAACCCACTTCCAGAACTTGATGATTATTAAGATTGAATGTTGATAAATTATCAGGATTCGATCTTAATAACTTCAAAACGATATTATTAAGATTCATCCGATAACGTTATTATTTGAATATAGTTAATAACCTGATAAAAAGTTGATAGCGTTATTAAGATTTATCGGTTTTATGATCGGATCTCAATAATCTCTCAAAATTATTAGGATGGTTATTAAGATACGAATATGGCACAGCTATAGGTGCGCCGACCATTGGTGCCCCCATTGGTGCCCCCAATGGTACACTATATTCATCTTCATCTGAATGGGCTGTGGTTAAAATAGATTTCCCTGCGGTTAACGTTTGCTGTAACTTATCGATAGCGTCCTTTGTTCCCTTTTCCGCATCTCGTTTTACTTTCTTAATCGTCTCCTTTAAATCTTCTACGTCAAGTTTTAACTTGCCTTCTTGCTCTTGTAATTTTTCGTCAGCCGTAGTTTTAGCGTTTTTCGCATCCCTTAGTTTCCGGATTTCCAAATCCCTTGCAGAATTAGCTTCGTCACGCTCTCGTTCTGCCTTTTCTTTTTCTTCAATTGCAGCATCGATTCGAGCTTGGTGAGAAGTTGATGGCTGTTCCTTTTTTAAATTATCCAGCTGTCGTTGCAACTCATTTATTTGATGCAGTGCTTCTGATCTTGAGGTTTCTGCTTGGTCACGTAGTCGCCGGTGCTCATCTCTTTCCCTTTCGGCTGCGTTCTTTAACTCTAGCGCTTTATCAACAGTATCTTTTGCCTCTTTCTCTTTTGTTCCATGCGTGGCCATGTGGTCGTCTATCCAACGTTTGTTTTCTTCGAGCGCTCTGGTTAGAATTCCGTTACTTAGGTCCGATTCTTTATCATCAATTCTCGTCGCTAACTTTGTGCGCTGTTGCTGTATCAATGTAGCCTGAGCTAGTGACACTTTTGTTTTGTCAATGCTGATTTAGACTTTCTTTATGCTCGGATTTTTACTTTACTAAGAATGGAATAACCTCTTTCGCTCGCTCTTTACCTTTTGTTCACATATACGCCACTGATTCTTCTCTCTAAAACCTTAACTCAATGACAAAATGCAACGAATTGTACGTTTTTGCGATTCGGCAATGTATTCACTTATTTTCTAACGCTCACTTAAACTATACGGGGATCGATGTGGCTTCTTGGGGATGATTGGTGACCGTTCGGTTGACTCCAATGCGGCTTCACGATATTTTCCAGTAATTTGGGCGATTGTGGTAATGTGAGCTGCAAAGTAATACAATATAACAGTGGAATGAAGCAAGAGAGAAATGAAATAACAACTTGTTCTGTTGGCGTTAGTCGCGAGACTGAAACATAATGCACTTTAGTAAAACATTATTCATACGTGACAATTCTACATTTTACATTCTCCCCGAATTGATACATTTCTTTGTTTTATTATCCTGCATTTACATTATTAGGATTTGCGTTGTTAACATTTCGATTATTATTCTGCTGGTTGTATTTTCTTTTTATATTCTTCTTGAATTTAACGTATAGGTAAGTCCCTATCTTAAATACTTCAATGGCATACATGAAATACATAGCGTATAACATTTTCACGTTCAACTCTGCCTGAGTGTGCGCATCTTTTGCTTGCTGTTGGATCACCACATTGTTGTTAACATACCCGGTTGATTCCACAACTTTTTCCTCAGTTCTTTCCTCGGAACTACCAAATATGCCCATTCTATTTAATTTAAACAAAAATTACAATTTATGAACTTAAACGGGTAAAATTATTCCAAATGAACTTTATATGGTCCTTTCACAAATAATACGTACTTGAAAATTGAAACAATGACAAAATTGACAATACTATTCTCAAAATGATTCAAATGTTAAAATTTTATGTTGACTCTTCAGATGCCAATAAATGAATGAATTATTGATAATTTTGAAAACCTGACAAACATGAACATTTTACAAAAATTGTTTACTGTGTAGAATACCAAAACTGAAAATGAACTTTATTCTCAAAAATATATACCAGTCAGCAGAAAAATTTGAATATGCTATGCTGTTGTTATGCCCAACTTTCTTATTAGTTCATTGAACTGCTGTGCTGGCAAAGCTTTTGTAAACACATCAGCAATCATTTCTTTCGATGGAATGTATTCAGTAATGAAATAATCGCGTTCATACTTTTCCCTAATAAAATGGAACCTTACATCAATATGCTTCGTTCTTTTGTGGTATTCTGGGTTTTTAATCAATCGAATGGCACTGTTGTTGTCCATGAATAAAATGATTTTTAAAACTTTTGCATCCAGAATAAAATCGCTCTCGCTTTCGACCGAAATCTCTCCAACAAGAATTTCGTAAAGTAATTTTCTCAGCCAGACCAATTCTTTTACGCATTGTGCAGCAGCCATGTACTCGGATTCGGCGGTAGACAAGGAGACGGATTGTTGTCTTTCTGATCCCCAGCTTATTGCTCCATTTCCGAAGATAAAACCGTAGCCGGAAGTAGATCTTCTGGTTGTGATGCAGCCCGCATAGTCCGCGTCGCTGTATCCATGCAATTCATGTGTTTTACTACTTGAAAAAAGAATACCATGATTAAAAGTTCTTTTAAGATATTTCAAAATGCGCTTAGCTGCCCGTTCGTGTGTTACTGTTGGTTTTTCGAGAAAACGACTTGCAATGCCAATCCGGCATATGCAATATCCGGCCTAGTGCCGACTGCTAAGTACATCAAACTCCCAATCAGTTCACGGTATGGATAGTTCGATGCGTCTGATTCGTCGTAATTGAACATTGCTTGGCTTGGGTCCGCCGGTGTGGCGACACCATGACAGTTCTCCATATCGAACCGACACAACACTTTCTTCCCATATGTTGATTGATGTATGAAGATTGAGTTGTCCTCCCTTCTTTGAATTTCAATCCCGAGAAAACAGTCAACATCCATTTCTTTAATTTCGAACTGTTCTCCGAGATGTTTGATCACCGCGTTGATTTCGTTTAAATTTTCTCCAACAATTAAACCATCGTCCACATGGATCGCAAGGATGGTTAACGTGCCGTCTTTTCTGCTTATAAAAACGCACGCGTCCGAAATCGATGGGATAAAACCGAAACGCCTGATAAAGGATGTGAACTTCACGTTCCAACACCTGCTTGCTTGCTTGAGGCCGTACAAGCTTTTCTTCAGTTGATATACACGGTTTGTTCCGTCGTTGAAACCAATAGGCTGTTCCATAAAAACTGTTTCTTTGAGTATGCCGTTCAAAAAGGCAGTTTCAACATCAAATTGTCGAATTGACATTTTTCTTTGAGCAGCCATCGCCAAAATCAATCTGATTGACGTAAAACGTACCACGGGACTGAATGTTTCGAAATAATTTACCCCGTATTCTTGGGTAAATCCACGCGCTACTAGTCGTGCTTTGTACCGCATATTTTTCTTTTCTGCTTTCACTTTAAATACCCACTTATTATCAACAATTTTCTGGTTCGTTGGTCTTTCTACGAGCTCCCACGTATTGTATTTAATTAATGAGTCAAATTCCTCTTTCATGGCTAGCTTCCACTGATTACAATTTTCATCTCTTAAAGCCTCCTTGTAACCATTTGGTTCACCGACCACATAAGCGATAGCTACATTTATGTTCAACACTTCAGCATCACGAGACTTTGATCGTGTTTGCATTACGTTGCTGGTTCCGTCAATCCTGGCTCTGGTTTGATAAGTTGGATCATCTAAAGACGAATCTTTTTCTCCATCATCCACTGTCGTTTCATTCAAACTTTGATTCGGACTGTCGTTGATCATTATAACTGAATCATTCTGAGAAGTAGTTGCCTCATTGTTTTCCGCAGATTCACTCGCATTTGTTGATATTACAGCTGGCGGCGTGTTTTGAGTTAACGTCGATTCAATTTCATCATTCTCCCCTGAATCGATGTTCTCGTTTTCTTCTTCAATAGGAAAAAATTCGGCGCCTTCATCTTCAACCGCAATTCGCTCAACCCAATTCCTTGAATCGTTGGTAACAGTCGAGTCAATTGTTTTGTTTTCACTCTCCATGAAAACTACATCTCTACTTATCACAATCCGCTTAGTTTCAGTGTCATATAGACGATACGCCTTTGCATCATCTGCAAATCGTAAATAGACACATGGATATGATTTTGAATCCAACTTCTTTCGCTTCTGATTTGGTTGCCATACCATGGCCCTGCAACCAAATACTCTGAAAATTCTCATGTTACTCTTTCTTCCATGCCATATTTCATCGGGCACTGCTCCACTTGATGCATTGGGTATAACATTAATAATGCTAACGGCAGCACATACAGCCTCGGCCCAAAACTGCTTGCTCAGGCCGGAGTCAATTAGCATACAGCGTACTTTGTCCATTATTGTGCGATTCATTCGCTCAGCCAAACCGTTCTGCTGAGGCGAGTAAGGTGCAGTCTTTTCATGCTTAATCATGAAACATTTTATTTTCGTATTCTGTGCCGTTGTCACTTCGAAGCCTCTTGATTTTTCGTTCTGTTTGCGTTTCAACAAACTGTTTAAATTCCACAAACTTTGAAAAAATTTCTGCTTTTGATTTCAGCAAAAATACGAAACATTTTCTGCTATAAT